GGGGTAGAGAGAAAGAGAGAGAGTGAGAGAGAGAATCCCAAGCAGCCAGTCCCCAATCCACAGTGCAGAGTCCAACACGAGGGTCGAATCCATGAACCGTGAGATCATGACCTGAGCTGAAGTCGAGAGTCAGCTGCTTAACTGACAGCCACCTAGGCACCCCTCCTTCAGTCCCCATCTTATTTAACCCTTTGCTGACGTTCTCCCTTCTTTACCCTCCCCCCACACACCCAGAACCCACTCCCTCCCTGCACGTATTATGTAGCATCGAGACGTCCATTGCTCAGGCTCTGCTGTCTGTGGTAAGTCAACGATAGGTCTACTCTGCCCCCAGTTTCTGCTGTTGGACATGTGTTTGGGGGCTCTGGGTCCATGGGGGGGAGGAAGGACTTTAGGGTTTATCATCCAAGTTTGTAGTTTGCTCTTTCCCCAAATATCTAAATATACCAGACACATCTCAAACTGCAAGGATTCACATCCTGCCAAAACTCATCACCAGGGCTGCTAGAAAGACACACATTTATCCCATTATTGCAATTTTCCCATTAATGCAATTTTGAGCTGATTATTCTACCTTTGTCCCCTCCCAGCCTTCCTGCATGGTGAAAGATACTGTGCCCAGGTCCGCCTCCTCCATTTCTGGGTTTCTCTCTGGCTTGTTCAGGGGCTAAAGATGAAGAGAGAGAACTGTCTTGCTACCCAGAAAGTTAAGATTTTTTCTCCCCAATTAGAATGCAAATTCCTTTTTATTGCCTGCAGGAGGTAACATAGCACCAGGCCCATTTAGTTGCTTGAGAGCTAGCTAAATGACAAAGCAGGGACTCAAACTCAAACATCTCTGCTCTACATCACATGCTTTCCTCTGTTCCATGGTTTCCATGGCTGGGCTGACGAGAAGGTCCTCTGGGAAAAAGTTATTTTATTATTGTTGTTGTTGTTGTTGTTGTTATTATTGTTATTATTGGATCTGGGGATAAGAGGACAGGGGTGTTCAGAACTAACAGATCTCCCCTGCCCCCTGGCCCAACTGCATGGCCTCCTAGCAAGTACACAAACCCTTCAGTCAAGAAGTGGAGTCTAAGGCCATTTGATGTCTGTGGCAATGTTACCAATAGCTCTGTCCTAGCTTTTGGCAAGGAATCTGATCCTGAGCCCAAACTCAGCCCACGGCCAGGGAAACATGGGACCCAGGACCCCGACTCCTCCACAGTAATTCGGCTGAGAGTAAGGACAGAAAGCCTAAGTAATTTGGATTCTTTTTTATTGACAGCAGTCATGCCACTGAGTCAGTACAACCTGCCAAGGCCCCACACTCAAACTGAGATCTGATCCTGGGTCAGTAGACAGAGGCTTTCATGCATTTTCTAGCATTACAACCCCTTTTTTCCAGTGACCTCTTACACAGAAACCCATTAGGGAAAAGCAGTGGAGGTGGTGGAGACAGGGGTGGGGGTCCCAGAGCCCATCTACGAGGTCTTCCTCCTTGGTCCTCCTCCCATGCCATCACCCTCATCCAGACACTGGACACCCTGGGTGAGGAACAGTCCAAGAGCAGTAGGGCAGCTGGGGGAGGGAGCGGACCGGCAGGAAGGCGGAACAGCACATTTGTTCTGCACAGGGCCCCTGCGAGTGGAGCTACTTTTGTTGTTTAGAGACTAAATAATGGGCCGAGGGATCAGAATGAAGCCTGACACAAGACCTGTCAATGTTTCTAGCATTCATCGCCTTTAAATATTCAAACACCAAGATTCTGAAGGATCTTTGACTTTTCTCTTCATTTTTTTTTTCCAAATGTCAACAAACACTGCTTCTGCTGAGTGAAGAGTCTGGCCTTGCCTTTCCTGATGAGAAACAAAAGAAGGGGAGTGAGAGAGAAGGTGAGGAGAAATGAGGACAAAGGGTGAGGACGCTCAAGTTTCCTGAGAGACCCAGTTTTAGGGAAGGGGGTGGAGGTGGAGAAGCCAGCCCGCTGAAGCCCAGCAGCCCCTCATGCGTTGGGCTGTTCCATCGTACCCTTCATTTTACAGATAAGGAAACTGGGGCTCCAAGAAGTAAATGGAGTTATGTTACATCATAAAGCCAAGTTCAAAAAAAAAAAAAAAAAAGTAAATTGAAACTGGAGCTCACAGTTTCTGGTGCCTGCTTTTCAGATGGCAAATGTTTTCAAAAGGGAAAGGCTGTGCTCACAGACTCAGGGAAAAAAGGACCCACAGACATGAATTAATTCTGTCAGCAAGCACTTATTGAGCCCCTACTGTTTGTCATCCATTGTCCTGTGGGCTGAGGAATAGAGATGAACAAGACACAGTCCCTGCCCCCAAGGAGTCCACAGGCCAGTGGGTGAAGCAGACAGATAATAACCACCACAGTCCAACCTAATAAGTGTCATGGCTGTGCTGTGTATATGTTGCTGTGGGGGTGTCAGCAGGACCAGATACATAATTTATGGGCTTCGGTGCCAAATAAAAATGCAGGGCCTCTGTCAAAAAAAAAATTCTCAGAATTTTAAGATGGTGACAGAAGAGCATTAAACCAAATATGAGGATCTTCTGAGCGTAGGGTCCTGTGTGACTGCTATGTCCATGTCTGTCACATTCCAGTTCACAAAGGAGGTGCTTCTACAGCCTAGTCTGAATGACAAAGAAGTCACCAGCACACGGGAGAGGAAGAACATTCTGGAAAAAGCTAACAGCATGTCTAAAGGCAGGAGGAGGTGGAAACACAGCATATTTGAGAAATGGAACAAGTTCAGTTAGGCGAGAGTAGGAGATAGGGGTGTGAGAGTAACAAGAAATGAAGCTGGCGAGGAAGTAGACCCCAAGGAGCAAGATGCTTTTAAACCATACGAGGCAGTTATCCTATCCGTATTGGTGAGTCATTGAAGCTGCTTGGGGATAGGATCTCATGGGTACTTTGGGGAAAAGCAAAACAAACCACTTGGGCAGCAGGAAGCGTGTGGGTTAGAAGACAGTGGGCCTGGAGTGAGAACCCAAGTTAGGAGGTTGGTGCAATGGCCCTGGCAGGAACCGAAGAAGAATATGCAGATGGCATCCAGATATTGAGGAAAGAGTGTCTGGCTGGAGATGGCGATGGAGATTTAGGGGCCCATCCATGAGGTGGCAGTTGAACTCTTGAGTCCAGAGTTTCCCAGAGTGAGTGAGAATGAGAATGGGTACCAGAGGTAAAGATGTAGGTGGAGGAAAGAGACTTCCAAGGAGGGGGGTTGGAGGTGAGAGGATGATCAAAGGAGCAAACCACATGACTCCAGAGACAAGAGTTTCAGGGGCGGATAGAGCAGCCAAACTTGTAAATTAATCCAGGGGTAGGGTAAAGACTACAGCATCTGAGATAGCTGAGGGGAGCGACAGAGGGTGAAACGTCTGAGGATGCAGACGTAGTCGGTGGCTGTTTCCCAGGCAGTGGCGGCCCAGAAGAGCACAAGGACGTTAAAGGCTCTGGCTCTGCGTCTCCACCTGCCGCGTGGCTGGACGCCTGCCTCCCCCAGGTTCTCAGGGGGGCCCCAGGGGCCTGAATCACTGATTGTCCCTAGAACCGGAGCAAAGTAGCCCCTCTTTACACCTGGTCCTTCGTGGCCGCCATGTGCCCCCACAAGGGCCAGCAGAGGCCACATCTGAGGTTGGGGAGGACACTGAGGTGTGCAACTGCCCCACGGCCACCCTCCTTCATCTCCACAGACACTGACCCAGTCACTCACCCCACGGCCAGCCACGCCGTGGCCTCTGCAGCTGCCCAAGCTGTTTGTACAGAGGTGACAGACACTATTGCCATCAACCTTGATATTCTCTCATGAGGCCCCAAATAGGAAGACCTCCTCCATCTTGCTTGTTAGAACTCAATAGCACTTTTATTTGACTTTCTCTCCCAGAATAATAAATGGCTCATCTGTCTTAGAACTTAGTACAAGTTTCCCAGAAGGACCTGCTTAGGTATCAATGAGCAAGGTCCATACGGCATCCCAGGTAAAACCCTCGGGCAGTAAGACTAAGTCCCCCTCCAAGTCTCAAAGAGCTCCTGCTGCATTAAGTACATGGCCTAGGAGATCGTGGTCCAACACAAAGTTTTCTTTTGTTAAGTTCCTACTGTGTGCCATTGTTTCACATTAATTATCTCATTTCCCTCTCAGTTCATGCCAATGAGGTAGGTACTAGCATTGTCCTATTTCCCAGAAGAGGTAAAGCAGAACAGCCAATGACTGTATGACAGTACAAAGAACGTTCCGGTCCTCTACTCTGGGGGAGGAGGCCTTTACACACTCTTTTGTACTTTTCAATATCTCAGGCAATAGCTTCTATAAATTCAATATATTCTGTATGTTCAATAGCTTCTGGCCTTGCCTCTCTCCAAAGATAGCACTGTAAGATGGATTGACCAATGGGATCCTCTCTCATTCTTGGCTTCATATCCGCGGGCTACCAGATTGTGGAAAGGGAGTGGGACAGGCCAAACTGGCCATGTTCCAAGGCTTCCAAAAGAGGTATCCCTCCTGACCCTCAACAGAGAATATATGTGGCCTCAGTCCCACGAAAGTTTCCTGCTGTTCTCTGAGAGCACACACGTGCATGCATGCATACACACACACACAACACCAACCTCCTCCTTACTGAGTAAAAACCCATATCCCCTGCACAGAGATAAACCACAGATGGAACCCACATCGTATTTGAAAATGCAAGCCAGTCGTCCACACTGGCTCTGGCTTATTTACAGCTGGCATTGCTTCTGATTTGGCCTCCATCCATTCTGACAAGCTGATGCCCATGCCGTATCTGTTGGCTAAATATTTTTTATATCAGCCTTGATTCTGGAGACAATGAGGCCCAGACAAGTTAAGTAATATGCCTATAGACCCTCAACTGTCAAATGGCAGAGCCAGCATTCATAACCAGCCCTTATCTAACTGCACATCCCAGTGCTATTAGCCCCAACGTTCCATACATTAGGACTCTCTCTGACCGGATGCCTATTGGGTTGCCATGTAGATGGACCCCTAGTGGTCCACCCAAACATGCTTGATGATAAAAATTCAAAGCAGACCCTGTTTGGAACCTTGGCTATGCAGATTAAAAAATAATAACTCTAAGGAAAGGCAAATGGTGAATCCCATTTCTACTAATCTTATAAATTTCAGAGAAGCCATCTAGGGAGAATGAGCCAGGGTTTTTTCCCCTCTGAACTGGATCACTAGTTCCTGGGAAATGCCCATAAATCAACATGCTTTCAGTTTCCAGGACTTTACTTATGTTACTGTATGGCTTTAAAGTCCTCATCTTGTTAGCAGGTGACCCTCATGAGTTGAGGGCAGTGCACCAGCCTAAACACAACCCAGATGCGAGACACTACATTGAAACACATGCAAATAACCATCCTTCTGCTCTCCTGTGAAATAATGTTCAGGAAGCACTAAGCAAGCCACAGGTGTTAAGGCAGCATTGCCCCACCAGCACCATGGGCTGGAGAGGCTGGGAACAACAGGTGCCTTGCTTCCCACACTTCCCCAAACCATTAAGACAGTGGTTCTCAAAGTGTGGCCTGTGCCAGTGGCAGCAGGATCACCAGGAAACTTGTAAGAAATGCAAATGCTGTCCCCCCTCCCATAACTGCCGAATACGTGTTTTAGCGGGCCCGCCCACTGATTCTGATGTGCACTAAAATTTAAGAGCCACTGCACTAGAGGTCTCAAAGACTCAAGATTGTGAGAGTCTGTCCCTTTTTGCCTAAGAGAACTTAGGAATCACCCGCCGTTAAAGAGAAACATTTCTTTAAAAAAAAAAAAAAAAAGTGACTTAGCAAAAGGATGAATTTCAGAGTTCAGAGTATGAACCTGGAATTATATCACAGCTCAGCCACTTACTAGCCATTTGGCCTTGAGGACATCACTTAATGTTTCTCAGAATTAATTTCATCAGCTATAAAATGAAAATCATAAACCTAGCACAGTGCCTGGCATACAGAAGGTGCTAAATAAAAAATAACTGTTACAAATGATGTTTCATCTCAATCAGCAACTGAGCACAATAGCCAGCCGCTATCAAGTACCTCTGTCCCCAGTAGGTAGACTACAGGGAACATCCATGCAAGGAGAGGGATAACTCCCTGGGGAGGGGCAGGACAGACTCCTCCACCCCCACCTGGAGACCCAGGTCAGGGAGTTTCCAAGTTCAATGAGCTCTGTTTGTGTTCAGGGAGAATAACAGGATCACAACGATCTCATCAGCACAGTTGGAGAGCAACAAATATGAAGCCCAGATCCAGATCTGCAGGCACAGAATGTCACCAAGGAAAAGCTGCCTCGCTCCTTCATGACAACATTCCCCCAAGAAACCATTGCTTGGAGAAACTTCAAGTTCTGTGCTGAAGTGCAGTGCAAAGCTAAACAAGACTCTGAAATGCAAATGTCTTGTCAGCACAGAGCAGAGCAAGTTTTTATAAGGTAGATAAACCTAAGGAGCCCCAGCTCCCATCTTCCCTGGAGAGAAGGGATAGAGGACAGGACAGGAGGCAAAGAATCAGGGGCAGAGTGGACACCTGGCACAGCATCAGAAGGTAGGAGATGAGTGAATATTATTTATAGTAGAGTTTCTAACTACTCAGTGATGTGTATGATTCACTCATTAAAATGCAGATTTGTATTTAGCAAATCTGGGATGGTGCCTGAGACTCTGCATTTCTACAAGAGGAGAAAATTGGGCTAGATAACAAGAATTTTTTAAATACTTTCATACACACACACACACACACACACACATATATAAAGCTGGGTTTTTTATTTTTTTATTTTTTTTTTCAACGTTTATTTATTTTTGGGACAGAGAGAGACAGAGCATGAACGGGGGTGGGGCAGAGAGAGAGAGGGAGACACAGAATCGGAAACAGGCTCCAGGCTCTGAGCCGTCAGCCCAGAGCCCGACGCGGGGCTCGAACTCACGGACCGCGAGATCGTGACCTGGCTGAAGTCGGACGCTTAACCGACTGCGCCACCCAGGCGCCCCAAAAGCTGGGTTTTTTAAACACTTATGCATAGTGGGGTGCAGAGAGAGAGGGAGACAGAATCTGAAGCAGGTTCCAGTCTCTGAGCTGTCAGCACAGAGCCCAATGCAGGGCTCGAACCCATGAACCATGAGGTCATGACCTGAGCCGAAGTCAGATGCTTAACCAACTGAGCCACCCAGGTGCCCCTAAAGTACTTCCTAATTTCAGTTCTTTTTTAAACATTCATTTGTGGGGCGCCTGGGTGGCTCAGTTGGTTAAGCGTCCGACTTCAGCTCAGGTCATGATCTCACGGTCTGTGGTTCGAGCCCCGCGTCGGGCTCTGTGCTGACAGCTCAGAGCCTGGGGCCTGTTTCAGATTCTGTGTCTCCCTCTTTCTCTGACCCTCCCCTGTTCATGCTCTCTCTCTGTCTCAAAAATAAATAAATGTTAAAAAAAAATTTTTTTAAATAATAAACATTCATTTGTTTATTTATTTGGAGAGTGGGGAGGGGCAGAGAAAGAGAGAATCCCAAGCAGGTTCCATGCTCAGCACAGAGCCTGATGCAGGGCTCGATCCCAGGACTACGAGATCATGACCTGAGATGAAATCAGGAGTCAGATGGTTAACCGAATGAGCCACCCAAGCATCCCAAGAAGATTATTTTTGATGGGCTGGAGAAAGAGGAAAATTTATCAATGCTGGAAACTTAATAAATTCTGTCTCCTTGCATAGGAACATGTCCTAGCACTATGCTTCATACAATGTATTGCTTAATAAAACGAAGGATAAATTATAAAATAGTTTGTAGGAAAAACACTTGCAAATTAAATGTTACCATCATAATCATCACCATGTTACCCTGGGCTCTCCCTGGCATGTTGTATTTAAGAGTGCCAATCAGTCCTCATCTATTCAACATTCTAAGGCTCTCAAGACCTCAAAATGAGCCCTAATTTTAGCCCAGAATTTACCCTGAGCCCACACTATTGTTTATTCCATAAATATTTGTGCCTAAAGCTAAGCAGAATAATTTTTGGCAATGTTACTCTACATATTTTTCATTTCTGGTGATTTGGTGGCTTGTGTTGCCCAGCAGCCCTCCATCCTCATAGACTGAGTTACCCATGATGTGGGGTGGGATGGAGTAGAAGAGAGAACAAGGAATTAAATTTTCCAAGAAGACTTTGACGTTCAAGTTCAATTTTTTAAGTTCACAGAGAAGACAATAATCTTGAGAGCCCTGGTTTTCCAATGCGAGAACTTGGCACTTGAGACGATGAAAGAGTCTTTCTGACTTCTGTAGAGTAGGCAGGATGGAGACATGAGGTGGGAGCAGTTTACCTCCACTGGAGGGGGAGAAGCTCAAGGAAAATCACGGAGTAGAATTTTGTGGCATGAGTGTCCTGATTGGACTCAGCCTATCCCTTCTGGGGCACCTCTCCAGGTGGTTGCTTACAGAATTCCAAGTGGAAAGAAAGGCCCCCTGTCATGAGTTCATAGGGCATTGGTCAGGGTCACTTGTTCTGAACCAGAAGGACAGGCCACACATTACATGGGCTGCAGATATGGAGGTCACCAATGCAGTGAGAACAGAGGGTAGTGCTCCCAAACCTGGTAGGACCAACTGCTCCACCTCAGAGGCCAGCCAGGACCAGAAGCCCGAACACAAACCAGACAGGAACCGTCCTCCCTCTCGCTGACATGATTCCATAACTCCTTCCTGCAGGGAGTGCCACCCCAGGCAGGAGAAGAGAGAACACTTGATGAGGGATAAGGATGCCAATAGAAAGTTTGAATTTAAAATAAGTGAGTTTGGGTGCACCTGGATGGCTAGGTCAGGTTAAGGTCCAACTCTTGATCTCAGCTCAGGTCATGATCTTGCAGTTCATGGGTTCGAGCCCTGCCTCAGGCTCTGCACTGGCAGTGCAGAGCCTGCTTAGGGTTCTTTTTCTCTCCCTGCCTCTCTGCCCTTCCTTCACTCTCACTCTCTCAAAATAAATAAATAAACTTCAAAAAAAGTAAAATAAATAAGTTCGTTTTTACTGTCTGGGTAGTGAAAAAAGACTACAAATCGAGACAGAATTTGACTAAGCTACCTTTAATTGTCAGGAATAAGTATTTTCACTATAGCAAAAAAAAAATGATGCCTAGTGACAGTTTTAAGAAAATAACAGTACAGTTAGCACATCTGAGTTGTGACTAAGTTTCAGACCCACTACAAGTCTCGGTTTTGGGCAACAGTAAGAGCAAAACAGATCAAATCTGTACTCCCCTATGCAGTCTACAGTTCAGTGGGAAGGCAGTGGTTAAATAGGCAATCCAACAGATAAAATACAAGACAACTGTTGTGCTCAGTGCTATGAAGGGAAACTACAAGGAGGAAAGGAAGACCGCTTTCCCAAATCCTCCTGCCTGCCCATCTTGATGCCAGAAATTCAGCATCTAGACATGAATTCTATTGGTTCACCATCACTTTCTCCAAAGACTTGTGGAAGGAGTTGCTCGTGAACTTGCTAACCTTTGCATTTTGAGAGTTTAATAATTGTCATTCTGTTCAAAAGATCAAAAAGAGGAAGGCTCCAAAAGTCTAGTAGGGGACGTAGGGAGGAGCAAGCAGTGGGGACCCCGTAGTAGCTGGGAGCAGGAAGTGGGCAGCATATGGGGAGGAGCACGTAGGAGGATCACTCACCCGGGAAACTGCGGAGGAACCCAGGGGGTTTGCAGGGATGGGGATGAAGGGAGGAATAGGGGGAATAGTGGGGGGGGGGGGGGAGGCAGGGGGTCACAGGCAGGAGCACATAGGAATGGAGGGAAGAATGGGGGTGGGGGGGAAGGCAGGGGGCACAGGCAGGAGTGCATAGGGATGGAGGTTTTCACAACAAACTTGCTTGGCAGTCTTGCCCAGGGTTGCTCCGCCCTGTACAAAAGCATTTGGAGCTTAGCAGAAGTTTAACATGATCCTGTGAGTATGGTCTGATGCCTGCACTAGGGCAGTATAGAGATCACCTAGATGTCAGGTTAGCTGGGACACCTGGAAAGAAGTTTAGTCTCTTTTCTAGACTCAAGGGACCTCAGCTTTCATCTTAGGGCCCAGTGGGAAGCAGGGTCCTTCTTCCAATGAGGACAGGAGACCCGGTTAGCCAGAAATCCCTCTCACTTCCAGGAAGGAGTATGGCATTGTAGTTAAATCCATTGCTCTGATGTCCAGCAAAATTCAGACTCAGCCACTTACCAAATGAGGGACTACGGGTGAGCTATTTGACCTCTCTGCACCATCACTTTCTCGTCTGTGAAATGGAAACAATAAATGTAGTTATCTCCTCATAAGATCAAACGAGACACCCTTATGCAGCATGCTTTTTACAGTTACCTGCTACTCACTGGAGTTCAGAGAGAGGCAATGGTGTGAGGCTGGTCGCGGCCATCCGGACAGGTGTTCGCCAGCATCAGCATCACCTGGATGCTTGTTACACCTGGACTCCACCCCAGACCTATGGAACCAGAATCTCCAGGAATCTGTATCTTAACAAACTTTCCAGGTGACTTTTATGAACCCGGGTTTGAGAAGCATGACTCCATGATCACAGATAGGCCTGAAGTCATCCATAGTGTGTGAGTAAAGCACTGGGGGAGGGGCATGGGTGTTGAATTCTTGCTGGCAGAGTATCTTATGCAAGTCTTTTCTTCTCCAGAGGCAGTGATAAGATTGATGAGAGCACCCCATCATGTGCCTGAAAGGGCTTTGCAACACATCAAACAACGTGAGCATGGAAGAGATTGTGATTCTTATCGCCACATTTGTAATAGGGTTTTTTAAAGGGAAAACAGCCAAGTCCTTGGCTTTCCTTCCCCTGCTCTTGGCAAAACCTCCTACTGCTCTAGGAGGATTGCAAGAACATTGACCCAGAATTCCCTGCATGTTTCCTGGGAAAAGCAAGCTAACTCTGACAGCTAAAACTGCTACACGGTGTATCATAAGATCCCTGCAGCTCAGACCCGACAGCTATTCCCTCCGGTTTCTGGCCTGCACAGCTGGCCCACAACGGTGGGGCTTTCTGTGCCTTGGGAGCTTTCTGCTGATGGAGGATAGCTTCCAGGTAGCCCCAGGATTTGAATCAAGACCAATAAGTGGGTAAAAGCTACAAAGAGTCGGGTTTCATGCCCAAGTAAGGAAGAACTTTGCAGGGATCAGAGCTGCCCCAAAGTGGCCTAAGCTTCCCTAGTAGGTGGCAAGTGAGATCCCTGACCGAGGAGATGGTCACTCACAGGCCAGTGACCCTTTGGCGGGGCTATTTTATCCTTTGTCTTCTTACCGAGGTCTAGGAGCAGTGTGCTCTGCCTGATACCTGAGAAGCCTTCTTCAAAACATCCCTAAATCCCTTCTTTCGTTCAGCTGGTATTTGCTCATCACCTACCACAAGTCAGGCGCTGGCCTACACACTCAGGATGAAGGGCCTTGCTCTCGGTTTAGACTAGGTGAACAAGGCAGGCCTCTCTGCGCAAGTGATGTTGTAGGCTGAGATCTAGATCACAAGCAAGCGCCAGAAGTGGGAAAATTATGTGGACGAGCACATCCGGCCAAGGGAACAACTGGTGTAAAGCAGGTCCTGATGCAGGAGTCCTGGAGCACAGTCAGTGGGGGCAAACCCCAAGAGAAGGCAGGGAGAGACCAGATCCTGTATGGAAGGCCTTATTAGCCAGCGTATGGGGTTTGGAGGGGTTTTTCTTCTGTTTTTTCTTTCTCTACTGCAGCACTTAAACAGGCCTGCTGACTGCCAGCATCATTGAAATTTCTTTGTTGAGCACCTACTTCCTGCTACAAACGTCAGGAAACCAAGGTCCTGTCCTCCCCCAACCAGCTGCTACTTCCTCTAAACACCGAGGAGCCTGGCCTTTGCTTTCAGCATCTTTCTTCACTAAGTATCATTGAAAAACTTGGATCTGACAGCCAACTGCTTACTTTCTGATCCACCAGCTGGTTACAGAACCAACATCCTTTTTCTTCTTTTATCTGTCTTTTCCCTGTGATGAAACACAGGTGCAGAGTGGATACAGGTCCAAATACAACCAGGAAAGAACAAACTCAGTCTCTCCAGGGGAGGGGGGTGGGTCAGGGGGCGCCAATGTAGCACAGTGGTTAAGGCACAGGGTCTGAGCCCCAATACAGGTTCCTTCTCACTTGCCAGCTATGTGACCTTAGGCAGGCCATCTCTCAGAGCCTCAGTTTTGCCATATGTAAAATAAAGATAATGATAGTCCCTACTTCACAGGCGGGTGAGTACGGACTGATTATTTTACAAGTAAAGAAATTAGAGCAGAGGCTGATTCTTAGTGAGTGCTTAAGAAGCATAAGGCCTTATTTGGCCCAGTCATTGGCTTTTTGTGAATGTTAGCATTTGTTCCACACCAAACGCATATTTGTTGAATATCTACTATGGGCCAGGCATTGTGCTAGGCGTGGCTTCACAGCTTTGGTCTAGAAGTCATACAACCTGACTCTTTTGCAAGGAGTCAGGTGACCAAGGATCAGCCTCGTCATCTCTGAAGTCCTCAGGTCTCTTGCCCCGAAAGGAGTGCACTGGGATCACATGACTTCTGAGGCCCTTCTGATCCTGGCTTGACAGAGTGACTGTCCTCAGGAGGATGCAGCCTTCAATCCTGCCCAGATGGGGCTGACCCCCCAGTCATTCACATCCACCGGTCCCGGTGTGTGAGCACATGCCCTGGAGAGAAGCAGGCCTGATCACTGTCTTGTGTTCGCCATAAAATATTGATTAGGGAATTTAAAATTTCGAAATGATTTAGGAGCCCCGAGACGGGGACGTAATGTGCTGTGCCCAGCTGCGTTATGAGCCATCTATCTCCTGTCAGCAAGCAGCACGATACTGACAGAATCAATACAAACGTGTCTGAAGAAAAGCTTAACTCATTTCCTTTCTCCAGGGGCAGTGGTTGGAATGGGTCAGCCTTGGGAGATCAGCACTGAAGCTGGAGCCTAGACACCCATCTGCCAGGTGCAGGGAAGGCAAGACTGTTGGGGTACTGGCTAGTCTCACTTTCTCCATTGGCTGCTACATGTATCTCTGCTAATACATCAGGAAAATTAATAAATCTAGAGCTTACATTCTCTCCTTTCCTTTTCTAAGGTTTTAAATAGGATCTCTGGGCTGTGTCCTGAAGGGAAAATAATAATAATAGCTACCAAGAATCTTTATTTAGCATCAAGAATCTTCTAAGAATCATCTTACTTCTCAGAGCCTCAGTTTCCTTATTTGTGAAAGGAAGAGAATGATCACACTGTCTCACGGGGTTGATGCCAGATTAAAGCAGAGGCGCTGTGATTGTACTTAATGCCACTGACTTCTATATTCTAAAGTGGTTAGGGCACCTGGGTGGCTCAGTCAGTTAGGCATCTGACTCGGTTTCTGCTCAGGTCATGATCTCATCATTCGTTAGATCAAGCCCCGCGTTGGGCTCTGCACTGGTAGTGTGGAGCCTGCTTGGGATTCTCTCTCTCTTTCTCTGCTCCTCCCTTTCTGTCTCTCAAAATAAATAAATAAACTTAAAAAAAATTTTTTAATGGTTAGAATGACAAATTTCATGTTATGTATATTTTACCACTATAAAAAAAAAAAAAGAAGAAGAAGAACCTAACAAGGTTAAAGCAGAGAAACTATAGTGCATAGTACATAAAAGGTTCTCCCAAAATGGCGACTATTGACAAGACTGGGGGGCAAAGTGTAACAAGTGATGTGTCCAAGGTAACAAGTTTCAAAACCACAGAGCTGGCATCTGAACCCAGGTCTCCTGATACTATAACAGAAGCACTGTCCTTCCAGCTACACTGTGCTACAGGAGACAGAGCAAGTGTGTTACAGGAATCTTCTGCATCCTTCTTTGCCAGGTTCTCCTACTTCCTGACCAGCATCCCAGATGCAGGTCCTACATTCCTCAGCAAGGTTAATAAATATGTCACTCCCAGCAAATGGCTTTGCTCCTTCCTGCCTCACACGTGGTTCTATGCACCTGAAACATTTATTAAACCCACTGAGAAGCTTGAATAAGAATTTAATTTTTCTAGCTAAACAATGGTGTGTGCAGCAGGCCAAGAGAATTACTTGTTTAATCTTACCTTTGCATGCCTACTCAGTTTCAGGGGGTTGTCTTACCCCAGGAACAGCGTGACATCTCAGAATCTAGGAGACTAATTAGCACATCCGTAAAGGACCTATTTACTACATAAAGGAAGAACCAATCTGTAGGTCTTTGTAACTCAGGATTTTTTGTGTGTGTGATAAATTTATCTTCCTAAGGACATATATACACTAAAGCCACTTTTCCCCAAGGCAGTGTTGACCCCCTCACGGTGCAGAGTACAGACCTACTCTCTGTTTTCTCATCCTAAGGCTTAAATTCTAGAATCTTTGTGTGGCTTTTGTTTATCATATCTTACCTTTTATTCAACCCCTTCCTGTAGTCTATCATTTATCACGATTATTGATTGAAAAAGCACTTTTTGGGCCCCTACGACAGGCCAGGCAATATGTACCATATGGAGAGATAATAAAGGCAGAGTTCTTGCCCATAGAAAACTAACGGTCTAGCAGAAAAGACAAACGTGAAAAGAAAAGAGCATAACTTAGTATTTGAAGTGTGACTCAGGGGTGCCCGTAGAGGGGACAGTTTATTCTCCTGGAGGGCCAGGAACAACATCAAGACCGAGTAACTTGAAATGCATATTCATGCTAAGCATGAAGGACCCAAGTAGACTGAGTGAGGAAAAGCATTCTAGAAGGCACATGGCCAGTGGCATGGAGCCGAAGAACAGGATAGCTGATTAGAGAACTGAGTGTAGTTTGTCAAAGCTGGAGCATAGAGTGTGGGTACGGATGATGGGGGTGTAGATGGGGGGCCCAAAACTGTTGCTTTGGTTGTGAGCAGCCAGAAGATCTGAGCAGACATTTTTCCAAAGAAGACATACATATTGGCCAATGGGTACGTGAAAAAGTGCTCAACATCACCAATCATCAGGGAAATGCAAATCTAAACCACAATGAGGTATCGCTTCTCACCTATTAGAATGGTTATTATTAAAAAGATAAGAAATAACCATTATTGGTGACGATGTGGAGAAAAGGAAACCCTTGTTGTTGGTGCAAATGTAAATTGGTGCAGCCGCTATAGAAAACAGTAAGAAGCTTCCTCAAAAAATGAAAAACAGAAGTACCCTACGATCCAGTAATTCTACTTCTGGGTATATATCTGAAGAAAACAAAAACAGTAATTTGAAAAGATATGTGCTCCCTATGTTCACTGCAGCATTATTTACAATAGCCAAGATATGGAAATTACCTAAGTATCCATCAGCGAATGAACAGGTAAAGAAGACAGAATATTATATGTCCATTAAAAAATAATGAGAGCCTGCCATTTGTAACAGCATAATGAAACTCAAGGGCATCATGCTAAGTGAAATAAGTCATTCAGAGAAAGACAAATCATACAGAGAAAGACAAATACTATATGATCTCACTTAAATTTGGAATTTAAAAAGAAGAGAAAAAACCCACAAATAAAAAAAAACCCAAGCTTGTAGATATAGAGAACATATTGGTGGTTGCTAGAGGTGTGGGCAGATGGAAGAAATAGGTGAAGGAAGTGAAAGATACAAACTTCCAGTTAGAATATAAGTAAGTCTTAGGATATAATGTACAGTATGGTTAATAGTATTGTATTGCATTTTTGAAAGTTGCTAAGAGAGTAGATCTGAAAAGTTCTCATCACAAGAAAAATAATTGTAATTATGTAAGGGTACAAATGTTAACTAGACTTATTATAGTGATCATTTCACAGTGTGTACAAATATGGCATAATTATGTTGTACACCTAAAACTAACATAATGTTACACATCAGTTTTACCTCAATTTAAAAAAATGATCTGTTAGATTCTATTATTGTTCTCAATTGTTCCCTCTCCCTTTTTATAAGAAATATGCATCCCTTTCTACCGCCAAACAACATCAATTTACAAAGACTCCTTGCGAAAGAAATATATTCCTTGCCCCCACTGACCACTGGCCACATGAGACTTCCTTTAGCCAACTCAGTGTGAACCAAAGTGACACGTGCCACATTCTACAGAAGAACCACCGTGTGATTCAGCCATGTCTCTTTTTCATTTTCCATAAGAACTGTTATCCCAGATGGTGGCTGTTTCTTCAACCTAGTTAAAGGAAGAATATATTTGTTGTAGGAGCAGTGCCCTTCCAACCCACAGACGATATGAAATGTGATCAAGAAATAAACTTTTGTTGTAAGCCACTGACATGTGGGGGTTGCTTGTTACTGCAGCCTAAGCTAATGGAAACTGCCTAACAGAAGGCTCCAAGAAACAGGCAAATGGAGCTTTAATGTTTAAAACTCTGCCAACCAGAATGGAAGTTGTGGACAAATGACTAAAGGAAAAGGGGCATTCATTCTCCCAAAGTCACAGTCCATTTCAAACATGACACCATTTCCTCTCTTGCATTCACTGCACAAAATCTCAGAGTTCTCACAAAAGACCTTTGATCATCATCTTTCTACTAGGGGACAGACACTAGTAGGGTCTCCAAATTCTCTAAATTGAAATTATTCAATTAAAGTCTAATACCAAATAGATCTAGGAAATTAGATGGAGCTAGCTGATTTCGTGCTTCCAGTTTTTTTTTTTTTCATTTCCAAACCTGATGGTTTCCATCTGTAAAACACCAAGGCAGTAGACCATCTGCCACTTAAGTTTCTGCAGTAGTACTTAAAGCAGACAATGCTTTTTGCCTGAGGAAAGTTATCTTCCTTCTTGTGTTAGCTTATCCAAGAGAGACAAAGATAGAGTTCTGGTGTTATTCAGAGGAAGACATTGCTACAAGGGTTTTCACAGATTATTCGAGCTTCCTTTTTAGAGATGAGAAAATTGAAGGCATAATGTGACTTATACATAGCATGTGGCACATAATAGGTACTCAATAAATAACTATTGAGTAAATGGATGAATTACAAACTGAATGAATGAATGAATGAATGCTCACCCAAATAGCTGATGGCAGGACTGGTCCTAATTAGGCCTAGTATACCATGTCAAATGCACTTTTCCCTAGGATGAATTGTGTTTTCCCATTCATTCATCCATTCAGTCAATATCCAAATTGTATTTTGCTGCTCCTGTGTGCTAGATATAATGCTGTACATTGGGGAGGAGAAAGATGGCTTGGGCAGGTCACAGCCTCTGCCCTCCAAGAGCCCTGGTCTAATGTGAGCTCCTCACCAGCCTAACTTCCTCACCAATACCACCTTTGCATTCTATTTCTTTAATTCTTCAATCATCCTCCCCTTCACAAAGGAAATGTTTCTATGGGTTTGCTAGTAGTTATGAAGTGGCAATTGTCACACTTTGGGACCTCTGGATCTTTTTACATTCTTAAGCAATTATCATAGACCCCAAAAGGCTTTTGTTTAATGTAGGGGGTTTTTTTTTGTTCATCTTCCATAATAACTGTTAACGCTAACAATATTTACCATATTTAAAAGTAAAAATAAGAAATTTTTGATATATGTATTGATTTATTCATTTAAATATGACTATAGTAAACCCACATGTTAACATAAATATCATTTTTCTTTTTGAAAAATTGTATTTTTCAAATAAAAATTATTTCAGTAAAAAGAGTGGCAATGTTTTACATTTTGTCAAATATCTTTAATGCCTAGCTTAAAGAAAAGAACTAGATTCTCATGTCTGGTTCTATCTTTCATCTCTTGTGACACCACATGTCTTGTAGCCTTTGGAAAATTCCATGGTACACTAAGAATATGGAAAGTAGAAATAATAAACAATGCCATAATATTGTTTTGAACATAGTTTCAATCTCAGGGACTCGCTAAGTGGTCTTAAGGACATCCCCCAAATCCCTGGACCACACTTAGAGAACCATTGTCCCAAAGACAATTTAATCTTCCTTTCAATTGGGGATAAGGGGAGGAAGGAAATTGGAAAGTTAAAAGGGAAAGGAAAATGCTAAGGGACCTGGGTGTGTTAAACCTCTGAACAGATGCCCATTTAGGATAGAGAGTCAAGGTGGAACATGGTTCCCCCCGTAACCACTTAATTATTTTTTTAAGGTTAGACAGCAACTCCCCAGGAACATTTAATACTCTTTACATCAGGCCCCATGAAATTTAAGGCAGGGTCATTGCTATACCAG